GTTGGAACTGGATGAGCTTTAAGGTCCCTTCCAACCCAAACAATACTAGGACTCTGATCTCCACCAAATCAGAAGGGAGACATCACTTTTGGCACCTCCCAGCAGCACCTAACTCAAGCAGGATTCAGACCAGATGGACATCCACGCAGCAGCACAGCCACCTGCAGCAGTGCTCACAGCACCTAAACTACACGTGCGAAGTCAAACACATTTATAAACATAAACCAAGGTGATGGGAAAGTGTTGTCACTAGCGATGGTCCTGATGCCGCCCGAGCCCTGCTGACTCTACTAGTGCCTGTATTTCACCCTGGATATGCCAAAACCCATTTTTCCACCCCCCCTTAATAGATAAAGTGACCAAATGAATAGAGTACAGAAAATTAACCCTTTTTATTGATGCATTGCAATTGTTCTACATTTTTACCATATTATGTAGAAAATACTTAAAATACAAGCTACTTTGTAAAACCAAAGACAAACATTGAATCCAAAGATAAACTATGTTTTCACAATGGACCCTTTTCCCATATAGTTAGTATTAAATTTTTAAATATCTATTTCTTCTGTTAAAATGATTTTTACATACCCCCTAAGTACATCAGCAATACAAACATAGCTTAGTAATTATCAGAAACTACCTGTATCTAGCGGCTTGTAAAAAGGAAGAGCACAACCATAAAAGAAAGTTAAATTTTACACAGTTACTAGCATATCAAATACATTTAATAAAGTAGGAATTCCATTGCAATATCAAGAATTCAAGCAGAAATACTAACATTACATATAATGTACTGCTACATGTAGTGAGATAGATATATTTCAAGCTGAATCTGAAATCACACCTTATATAAAGTTTAGCAACAAACAACCATGTGGACATGCGGAACCATTCAGAAGTTTAAATAAAAAGAAAAGAAAGCAGGGCTGTGCCAATCCTGTCATTTAGAAGCAATTTAGTTTCGTGTACTAAAAGAAAATGCTGAGTCAGAGGTAAATTACTGCATCCCATCAATTAGGTGCTAAGCAGGAAAGCCTCAGAAGTTGCCTCTGCAGTGGCTATCACAGCTGTGAATACAGGTCAGGTGATGAAACAACTGGTTTAACAGTTCGAGAATCACAGATGAGTCCAGATGGGACCATGGTTATCAAATCCTCAAAAGGTGAATCCCAAACTAGTTTCAAATAAATTAAAGGGTTCCAATTTCTATCCAGAGATAGCACATTTCTTTAGACTACGGGTAGTGGCTCTGATGATGAGGAGAGTCAATTCTTTAACTGAATTTGAAGGCTGGGTAGGTGAGGGTCTCCTTAGAGCCGACTACAACACCCTTAAATTGGGCAACACATACCGAGGCCAGGCTGAGATCTCCGAGATCCGAAGATGAAAATCTGGCCCTGCTGGGGTGGGGATTTTTGTCTGCCTGGTTTATGCTGTGTATCACAGAGGAATTTCAGGGTATTTTTACCTAGTCATTTCCAACTCATCCTCCTTGTTCCAGTACTTTTCGGAACTTAGGCAGTGGAAAAAAATGACACTGAGCTTTGTGAATACATCTGACTGGTTTAATTATGTCATAGTGACCTCAAATAGTCATTTTAATTGCTTTTCGTCAGGGAAGCAGGCAAGTTCTTCTCAAAATTATTAGGAGATTTTGCTAGAAGTACTCTTTCCTGTTAGGAGTTCATGGAAAACACTTGACTATTTGTGAAACAGGGAATAACATTTTCCTGAAACGGAGGAATTGGAGCTTGGTTTGCCTTTTGATGGAAAGGCACAACTCTGTACCGCAGAGGTATCTCAAGGCAAGTACTGAACACAAGCAATGTACTATGGAAAAAAGTAAGAAAGTGCCCACAGCAACAAAGAGCATCGTTTACACCACTGACATGGCATAGCAAGATCAGTTGGTTATCTGCACGCTTACAGAAGGGCTCCGACTGAAAATACACTGAACATTGCCAATGCTACTGCCCAGTTCCAAAGTCCTCGATCCTTCTGTACGAAGAGATGCCAAGCCTTGAACAGTTCGTCGACTTCAGGTCAGTCCAGACTCTCTTCTATCAATAATGTGGAATTCCAGAAACGGTCTTCGGACTTCTTGGCACACACCACTCGGAGAACTGGCCTCTTTTCCACTGGGACGGAACATAAACTGGGATTCACGGTTCCCAAAACCTCTTATTGCTGTAGTAACACGACCGCTCGAGCCAGTTTATCATCCACTTGGACAAGATACTTAATCTACGTACTGAAGATGGAAATGAGTATTTCCTCTGAACGCTGACTAGGGCTTCAGCTGACAAACCTTCCCAACAACTCCACATTAGCAGTAGCATTATAAACTTTTTAAATGGTATTATGTGCTTTACAGCAGGCTCTCTTTGGTATAAATATTCTATCACCAAGCTAGCAATATTTTACAAGAAATGTCTGCTATTAACGTGGGGGAAGGTAACGCCATACTAACCTAATAAAAAAGTGATTGCACATATTTAATCACTTCTGCAATATTAGACTAAACATTCCAATGCATTCCCAGCACTACCTTATTCGAAATGCACTGACAGACATTTAACAGTATATGTGCCATCGTCAAGGAAAAGCTTTAAGGAAACATCGCTTCACTCCAAACAAAAATGTAGGGGTTTTTTATGATATTAGCATTAAAACTGAGAACAATGCACCTATGCAACATACTGCTGTTCTTGCTGTGATAAGCTTAGTGAATTGCTTCAATTCGACGGGGGCTTGCTGGTCCCTCATAAGGCAAGCTCACTGTAAACTCTAGTCACACTACATCATCATTTAAGGCACTACAATAAGGGGACACACCAAACAACTCTTCATCACACATACCTGTGCAAAACAAATCAGAAGGTATCCTTGTCTCTCATGAAGCTCTACTCCTCTCTCAGTGCTACAGTGATGAGCTCTAACCATTGCATTATATCACATACATTCCAACATGAATCAATTCATTTTGGTTTAAATACAAAGGATACATCAAACTCCATCCCCAGGAACGTTTAAGAATTAGACAAACACTAAATACAGAATTCAAGTATAATCACTACACATTTTGATTACAAAGACAGAACATTTGGGGTTAGCAGGAAGTTTTGCTTGTTATATTTTTCTAATCAATATGTACATATTTAATTTTATGTAAAATATTAAAACACCACCAATACAAAACTTCTAAAATAGTTTTAAATTCAGTAATAAACTTTAAAATCTGGATTTTTTTTTCCTTTTTTCCTTTCTCTCTTTTTTTTTTTTTTTTTTGCAATTCCTACATGCATGTACTGTGTACAAGTCTTATTAAGAGTGCTTTAAAGTAGCTGTTGACATATCCAGGAGTATAAAAAGCTGTACACATCAATACAGTGATGTTTCATTGTATGTCAAATTCAACTCCCTCCTCAATGAACCACGTGAGGAAAAACATTAAGAAAAACAGAACAAAGAAAAGCCCTGTGCTTCTGTGAAGGAATCCAGCTCCAGTACAGGGCCAGCATCTAATACGTTAGAGAAACCCAATTTCAGAGCAACGCTGCACTGTTCATTCTCGGCTGAAGATGGCAGCATCCCGACAAAGCTGCTGAGTTCTGTTACACAGTGAGATCTTGAATAGTTTGAAAAGAATTCTGTGATGAATGCAATAAAAATTCGGCTGGTTTATGGAGACACGTAATTGTCAAGAAAACAAAACAGATTTCAGAGTTTACATGGACTCCTGAATATGTAACGTTGCTAGTAGGAGGCAGCTGCCTTGACCAGTCCTTAAACAAAGCAGAGCAGTAAACAAAAAACATTAACATGTAAATGGCTTTTGCAGAACCAGGAGTTTGTTAGAGACAAAGTGAATGAGAGAACAAATGTTAAAATATTAAGCTCGATTTTCAAACTGCTGCAGCAGATAAACATGCATTACATTTTTTGTGGAAAGATGGATTGTGTAAAATGCTCAAATATAATCTGCTAGTCTTTTTGTTAAAAAAGTCATCAGGATCTGTCTTCCAAGACATGGATGTTCTTTGCCCTTTTGATTAGCACAACAGAACAATTTTAAATAAATGTGACCACGAAGCTTTTAAAAGCATCTCTTTAAAAAAAAAAGTAAATAAAAGTTTAAAAACTGAATGAGTGTTAGTGTTAGCAATACTGAATTAGAGTTGGCAACACTAACCAAGTTTGGTAACACTAACGTACTGGTAACAAAGCATGCTGTTCAGTTAGTGATGGAACTCACTAGAGTTGGTTTTGAACAACACACAAACAAATCAGGAAGAAACGTAACGGAGAAACAAAAGAAATCGCGGAGAAATAAAGAGTCAGACAGCCATTACCAGGTAAATGTTCACAATATTTCTCCTCCAACCCCCCAGGCCCATTGCTTTCTGGGAACTACAAGTATGAGTACTGGTTGATCTTTGTAGGGCTCAGCGGATATCCAGTGTAAATAGCAGATCCTCTGGAAGCACCAATGTAGGACTGTGGAGCAAACTGGTGTTGGTATTGGGCAGGTGGAACATTTGCAGAAGTCAGCAGACTTGGACCAACGCTCACAGGGACCTGGTGGACGAGTGTGCTGGGATGGGCAGCGTACGTGGTGTGCCGTGAAGAGCCCTGAGGGGAGAAAAGGTGGGCAATGGAGGTGGTGGAGCCCAGGGTTGCAGCAGTGGTTGGAGCATAAGTGTACATATGCGGCTGGCTGGACAGATGTGCACTTGCCGTGGCTGCTGCCAGGTGGGGATGCACTGGGCTGCTGTGCTGGAACGCATAGGGAGCCTGAGAAATAGTTGATGCAAGGGGTGCCACATAAGCTTGCTGCCTACGTGGGATAGCATTTCCACTTCTCTCCTGGGAGGCCAGCACTGTTGTTTGCTGGTTCTGTAGGGAGAAGGAGTAAATAAAGTTAGTGGCTATCCTCAGGGAAAAGCACAGTGAACAGAAGGTGAGCACGGAAGGGTCAGCCAGAGCCTCCTAATCAACACCTCTGTTCTACCTGCAAGGCTGACACTTCTGCAGATCCTCCCTTCCCAGCTCTGTGAAACCCTCAGTTTCAGGAGGGTTACTGCAGCTTCTCTAAGACAAAGGTTACACTTTTCCTCTACAATGGGATCAAACTGCCATATCTGGGGTACAACAGTACACAGCTGTACAAGCACGGGCAGGTCCTAAGACTGACCCAGCCCTTGAACTCCTCACACAACCTTTCTTCTGCACCTCAGTGAGAGTGCAGCAGGGCTGCCCCATTTTAGTGCAAAGCCCATCTTGTTCCCATACCAGAAATGATCTGGAGGTGTAACACTTCCTCTCTTCTAAATGGCCACTGCAGCTTGACTCAAAAGATCAAGAGTAGTGACACAAATTGAAGTGAAACTAATCTCAAAGTTTCAAGGGAGTCAGGTGCTAGTTGTTAGTTTGAGACACAAGGTCCAGCCTTAATCACCTGGTTAGGGCTTTGTGAGATCTAGAGAAGGAAGAGTCTCCTCACACTGTTGAGTGCCTTCAGTGCTACCCTAATTCAACAGCTGAACCCCTGAGTGACAAGAATGACTCACTGCAAAAGAAGTGTGACTAGAAGCAAAAAAAGAAACTTCCTTTGCCTTGAGAAACTTCACCTATATTCCCTACAGAGTTTACTCTACCTTGCATAGCTACAAGATAAAATCAGCTTCAGGGAACTGTTCTCCTCAGTTCTTTGAAGCTGATTCTCCCTGCCATACAGCATAGTGTTTCTAAAGCATCGTGTTCAAAGGTCAGAAGTCACACAGTGCTTACCTGGCTGAGATTGAGAGGCTGCGCACCATTTGTTACCACGCGATGCGAGCGGTACCCAGTAGGTGTTATACAGCATCCTGATGACTGCCCGCTCATGGAGGCCACTGGCTTGGTCTTACTGGTACTGCTCAGGATGCCTGAAAGATTTCAAAAGCTTAGTTCATTCTTCCCTCTTAAGTGCTGTGCCCTGTATAACCAGCTTATGCAACTGTGATAACCAGCTTAGGCAACCAAAGAACACAAATGGACTATTTCTGTAACAAAGCCTCTTCTTCAGTTATGATTTAAAATCTGACCATACAAGAAATAATCAGGAATATTTACAGATCTTTCTAAATGCAGCCAAACACATGTGAAAGGGAAATTTACCAATGAAACTGAAAACAGACCAAAGCTTGCACTCTGAGAACAGCAGCTGTGAAACCTAAAGCTGCTGAAGACCCAACACAGTCTAAAACTTCAAGGACAAAGGTGTCAGGGACAATACAGCATCTGAGCCTTGGCAAACACCATACCCACCTGACACTTGGGTAGCTACAACACAGTCACTGAGCTGTGTCTTCAGTGGTGGCACAATGATATTCCGAGAGCTGGAGCTGTCAGCTGCCTCTCTAGTTGGCAGCTCCAGGGCACCGCCTGTGCTCTCCAGAGAGGCAAGTGTGTCTATGGCATAGGGACTGTTCAGGGAGGAGTCGGAATCAGGGGAGTCATTAACAGTAACGTAGCTGATGACATTGGATCTCTGCTTCATGTTCAGACTGCAGGGAAAAAAAGAAAAGGAGAAAAAAAAAACCAACTAAACAATCAAATGGGAAATATTCTAGCTTTTCCCACAAGATACAGGAAATCTCCCTCTGGGATCTTGTACCCTCCCTCCTTGTCAGCTGGAATTCTGATTAACTAGAGACACAAACAGCACAGCAGACATGACACAGATTTTTCTGTCTTAGGCAGTGCTTCTTAGCCTAGCCAGGGCTTTGCATGTAGTACTCCCCACAATCCTTGATGCTTGGGCTCAGATCAGGACAAATCAGTACTGGCTGCTTAAAGAAACTTCCTACCTGCCAGGTTTGTATTTGCTGTCCTCTTCCTCATCAGTGTCACTGCGAATGGTGATGACACTGACAGGTGGGCTTGGAGTGTCTGGGATCACGATGGGCTGGTGCTGCTCTGGCACTAGGATGAGCACATTGGAAGAAGACGAGGTGGAGCGCAGAGGACTGCTGCCAATGAGTGAGTAAACCTGGGAGGGCACAGTCTCTACAGTTGAGCTGGGCCTGAAGGAAAAACAGAGCAGTATTCAGCTACGTGTCGGCAGGCTGGGACAAACCAGCACCAGCACTGAGAACAGCCAGGCTCCAGCAGGCTGGAGCACACGTACAAGAAGAAACATCTAGAGAAACACAAAGAGAACCTCAGTACAGACACTCATACAGGAGAGTGGCATAAAACACATCCCAGAAAGGACCAGCACAGTGATGCTCTGAAGAAGGCCGATGCACCCAAACACTGCCAGAAACCTGACAACCCTTGTTCAACAGATGCCAATGGTATCACTTGTATTGCTACTGCACCAACACCCCCCCAGTGTGTAAGAAACCCTCCTTTGACCAGTACAGTAAAGCACTTGGTCAACTATGTTCCTTGCACTCCCACTGAAGTTAGTGTCATTTATATCAGTGACAACAATACAGACACTTTTCCCAACACATCTTTAAAAGCAAATGTAGCACATTAAAAAGATACACAATTAGACAATGCCTTTGTGATCAGAAGATCAGTTTTTCACATCATAAAGGCAACCTCCACTGTCCTGGGTTCAGCTGTAACAGTTACTTTTCTCCTTTCTAGTAGCTGGTGCAGTGCTATGTTCTGGCTTTACTCTGAGAATAATGCTGGTACCACACCGATGTTTTAGTTGCTGCTCAGTAGCGCTTACCCTGATCAAGGACTTTTCAGCCTCATGCTCTGCCAGTGAGGGGCTCAAGAAGCAGGGACGGAGCAGAGACAGGACACCTGACCCAAACTGGCCAAAGGGGTATTCCATATCACAGCATGTCATGCCCAGGATAGAAACTGGGGGGAGTGACCCAGAAGGCCCAGATTGCTGCTCAGGTGGGGCTGGGTATCAGTTGGCGGGTGGTGAGCAATTGTATTGTGCATCACTTCTGTTATTGGTTTTATTTCCTTTCCTTTTAATTTTATACTCTCTCCTCTTGTTATTTCTCTTATCATTATTATTAGTGGTGGTAGTAGTAGTAGTTTTATATTATACTTTAGTTATTGGACTGCTCTTATCTCAACCCATGGGATTTACATTCTTTTGATTCTCCTCCCCACCCTGTCAGGAGTGGGGGGAAAAAAGCAGGGGAAGTGAGCGAGTGGCTGCATGGCTCCGAGTTACCAGCTGGGCTTAAACCGCAACATCTACAAATACACCCACATCTTTCTAGGACTGGAAAAGGAAGCCTTACTTGGCCACGCTTGGTGCTGGCTGCTTGTTCTTCTTTGCTGGAACATTGCTGCTCTGCTGCTGCCTAACAACATGAGTAACTCCAACACTCAGAGGCTGTGCTGTGGCTAATGTCACATGGTTGGTCAGTAGTGATGGCTGCTGCATGAGAGTGCTGTACTGATTTCCATGGGAATGTGCATTCCTGGAGCAGAAAGAAAACAAAAACCCCAGATTCCATGACTACACTGCAGGAACAGCAAGCTGCACCGAGCCCCAGAATGATTCTGAAGGGAAGGGAGAAATTCTGTGCCGTGCTGGGACAGCACATATTCCCATTTGGCACAGAGTTGGACCCTGTGCATTCCCTACCTCCAGTCAGCTAATTGCTGGCTGCCGCTGATGGTCTCCGGAATCACAGCCGCTGGCTGAACGGAGTTGTGCAAAGCAACCCCTGGGAGCTGCTGCCAGGTGGAAGGAAGCAGTATCTGCTGGGTTCCCCCCGGCCAGGCCTGCTGCAAAACAACAAACAGACACAGAGGTTCACTAGATTTCGGTTCCTACTGGTGGAAAGAGATTTGTTCCAAGCAATAAACACAGTTGTGTAGATTGTTAGCTTGCAGAGATAATGGCACGACACTGCACTCTCTCAAAAGGTCTCAGTACAGTAAGAGAACAAGAAAACCAGAGAAACAAGCTTCCCCTAATGCTTTGCTAACCTTTTGTATCACAGATGTCACCTGGGGAAAAGGGTGTTAATATTGTGCAGAATACTGCACAATGCAGCCATATATTGTACTGCCAGAAGCAGCATGAGTATTCAGGACTTCTGCACGTAAGTTTACACATGCTGCTCTGCAGAAGGATTCCAAAATACAAAACCAGTTTGGTCCTTTCTTGTTTTTCTGCCTTAGAGGGCTGAGACTATCTGGGAATTCATCCTACTTCAACTACGGTACTTAATTAAAAGGGAGATATGCAGGAGATACTGTCAATTCATCAATATTATTAATGTTCCAGTCCAAATTGACAAAATGCAGCTTTTTTTCTGGGGGGGAGAAACAAAATCAAGAAACCAGAATACATCTGGCAGTACAGTATTTCTATGGTTTTGAAGATATATGGCTGTCCTGCAGTTTAAACTGCAAAACCACAAAACTGCTGCTTTAAATAAAGTATTTCTGCAAGTAACGGATCCACTTACTACAAATACCAGTTCCAAACAAGAAGCCTTCAAAGCAGAGAGCTGCTAAAACCTCTGCCAATGTAAGCGGAATAATAATAATAATAATATTAAAAATAAGGAGAAATATGTTAAGTCACACCATGCGTCTTTCCAAAAGCCAACACCTGCACAAGACAAAGCAGAGAGTTTAATACAGCAAGATATAAATTCCCAATGAGAGGCAGAAATCGGGCCTTCCAAGCGACGAACTGTTTTGACAGAGGAAGGACAAAAATATGCAAAGCTTAGCAAATGGCTAATGCAAACTCAGGGGAAGCAGCAAGGGAGAAGTGTCGGAAGCACTAAAGGTGAGCAAATTCACGCCAAAGGCTCCCAGAATCCAAACAGAATTAGGAAGTCCTCCAGAGAAACTCAGAATCCAGGCTCATAGTCTGGAGACAGCTGGCTCTGATCTCCACTGCTGTACAGGGGAGTTGAATGACAAGTCCACTGCACACATGCAGGAGAATAGAATTTGCCTGTTGAATTAAAGGCCCAAATACACTTTTGAAAACATCACTAACAACTCACTTGTGTCCCAAGCTCTGCTATGGTCACCCCCTGCTGTTTACAGAGCCTAGACTGCAGCCTTTCAGCAGTCAAAATTCACAAGGAGGAAAACATATACATCCCTGGGTCTGTTCAGCTCAGAGCTGTGACCCAGGAGAACGCCACTCTCCTGCCTTCCCATCCTCAGAAACAGGGAGCAGTTAAGTTGGTTCACAAGAACTCAAATGAGTGGGTTTTCATTTCGATACAGGTATGACTCAAGCAAATTCCACTTCAGCAGATGTCTCCCTCTTGGAAGAAAATGACACTCAAACTACTACTGAAAGCCACGAAAAACAACATGGTTCACATAATGGAATGTGCTTTGAAAGACATGTGAGGATACCAGCACATAAGTGCACTGCAATGTTTTCATAAGCTTCACTTATCTGATTCTGGAGTTTTACAATGACTTCTTTGTGGCACTTGCAAAGTTGTTCTGATGCAAGTGCCAAATGAATACAGAAGAGGACAATTTTGAAAATACACACTTCTTGAAGATGTGTTTCTTCCCTTACCCCAACCTTTTAAAAAATTGTTCCCAATAGCCTAAAAGCTAGCTGTGCCAGTTTGGATACTAGAGCTCACCTTTAATTTCAACCAAGAAATACATATGAACTGAAAGCATCTGTGGAGAATAGTATCTTTATCTGGATGAAGCAAGCTACCTGCGATTGGCTTTAAATAACAAAAGGCCAGAAAATTACTGTCGATGTTCAACAGAAGTTAAGAGAAATGGACAGCTAAAGCAATACATTAAAGAATTTGCTATCATTAGAGTTTTTAGCCTGTGCTAAATGACCTGAAATGTTTCTACATGCAAAGCAGCTTTACACGTCTTGAAAACAAAATAAGTAGCTAACTTGCCAAGTAGTTCAAATTCTGGCCATCCAGGTACCTGTAGCAGAGTCAAGCTAAAGGCTGATTCCTTTGTATTCAACAATCAAAAGACAAAGATAGGAGAGTAAGCAAAGAACAAGAACAATTATAACTCTTCTACAGTATAGCTTAGAAGAGCATTATAATACTAAGCTAGTAAAAGTAATTGTCAATGGATCTGGATTCTTTACAGAGCCACACTAAACGTCAGAGTCAGACAGTGCTTCAGCAATGTTGGGGAGGAAAACAAAAAGACATTAAGATGTAGCAAGAACACAGCCACAAGATGGCACATGCTTCCATGCCCTCTGCAAGTCTAAGTTAAAACAAAAACTCAGTTAGTGAACACAATCAAGGGAGGCAATTACCAGTACTGCAGCCGTCTGTTCTACTAGCGCTGGCCGGCCGGCTGCGCAGTTCAGAGTAAAGGGGACCGCATACTGCGGCGTGATGGTGGCTACTTGAGGATGAAGAGTTGCTACCATTAGTGGTGTACAGCTTCCCTGAAATGTAGATCAGGCAGTGAGTGAAACACACGTACTGAGGCAGGATAAGTGGGTTCAGCAATAGGGCCAGAGAAGGTTTCACCTCACTGGCATTCTATGGTGCTTGAGCAGACTCCAGAATTAATGCAGTGAAACCAGCACCCAGACCCTCTGGGCACGTTCCTCTAACCAGTTACATGTCCCAGAGGGGAACACAAGGAACAGGGAATTTGGGAATAGGATCTCTCCGATGACACAGTTAAAAAGTAAAAAATGAGATAGTGTTCAGCTATTAATACTTTACTGGGTCCCAGAGAGCAAGTTACAGTATGTACACTGCACTAACCATAAAACAAACTGCACCCCTGGCAGGACACATTTACTATCATCCCTCCAAATTCACAATTCACATACAGTACTTGTGGAAAAATATAAGCTAAGGAATTTAATAGAAGGCACAATAAGTCTTTTGTATCATGAAAGAGCAAAGTTATCTGCAACAAAACTACCAAGACACATATTAGTACGTCAAATGTCTAATTAAAACTAGATTCTTAGCATACAATTTGCAGGCTCAGGAAGAAGAGGGTTTGGATTCAGATGTGTATTCTTCAAGTGTATTCTGCTTTTTGGGTACCATTACCTGTATTATTATGCTAAACAAACCAGAGATCACAGAATGACACCAAAATGATTTGGACTGAACAATCTAAAAATTACTTCTCTACAAGAAGGTCAGCAAGCACAATATACTGCATAGAGAGTAAAACTAACAAAGTATGTGTTAATGTCAGCAGGCACTAAAACTATGCAATGTGCACTTAACTATAAAGGCAACTACAGTTTTTCAGTGAATAAAACCTGGGACTCACTATATATTAAAGCATTACTTTTCTCATATAAAATTATTTTAATTTACAACATATTACTGATATGAAAATAGCATTTTCTATAATTATTTGTGCATTTTGCTATCACATTGTTTGAAAAGCAAACAACAGAAACAGGTATGTCATAGCTACACAAATTAACATTAACAATGAGAAGGAGTCAAAAATAATTTTGTTGATTTGAAGATGAACTTTTAACATGACTAATCTGTGTTGCCACTTCTGTTTACTAGGATCTCACTTCTCACAGAAATGATTTCTTCTAAAACTTGCTGACACCTTTTTAAAGAGCAGGCAAGCACGTACACCACTATCTATAAGGCAGTGTACACCCATAAAAAAATGCAGCCTGTTTTTAAGCAGCTGAAAACTCCACATTTATTCTCATTATTACATCAGACTCTTAAAATGGATTATATAAAATAGATTAGACTTTAAATATTTCAGAAAAAAACAAAACACTGTCTTAGAAGTGACCTACATTTAACCTTTTGGAGTGTTCTGAGGACCCCCTGCATTCATCCCAGCACCAGAGGAGCAGCCAGGTTCTCCTGGATGGTGGTAGGAATTGCAATGAACTTTATGGGGTTTGGTTGGGTGGGTTTTTACCTGTGTGAGAACACCAGACTGGATCTGCAGTGGCTGTGCTGTGGGTGCTTGTGGTACAATTGGGACAGCATTCTCCATCCTTACTGGGAACCCAGAATGCTTTGTAGTTGCCTGAAGTCCAGCTGTGGAGGACAAGAACACATCAATGCTAAGCAGCTTCATTATTTCTTTTTAGTTTCTTTCCAAAATAAAATCCCTACCAGATAAGGGTGGAAGACAGGGTCAGAGAAAGAAAAGACATTCCCTTTGATAAAAGCATACTAACAAAGCACCAGCTGAAGTAAATATCTCTGCAGTCCCAGTACGCCAAAGCACAAGTACGGACAACCAGTTCTCAAAAGCTTGGTTCTACTCATATCCACAGTCTTGCCTTCAGAAACACGGATATCTAGTTTTCAGTTCCTTGAGAGCAAGTTCAAACCTTACGCTATCAGTGACCAGTTCTCATTTCATATAAAACCCTCCATAAAAACACAATGCAGATATAAGCATAAATAGAGAACTGTCAGGACTCAGCTATGCTTTGCTAACCTCACTTACGTGCAACCTGTAGCAATCTACACCACTGCATCAGTGCTTGTGAACTGAGACTCAAAAAGGCCAGTTATTTACTCCTGACATACAAAAACCAGAGCACAACATTTTCTTATTTTCACATAAATCTGGCTCCCCTGTTCACTGTTCTGTGGAATGCTGTTGTGTTCAGTTTGGGGGGAAAAACTGGTTGAGCGACCAGATGAAGACTGCAATCTAGGCAGGCAAGATACTGTTCAAGCATGATCTGGAAGAGAACTAAATTGTCTACACAAACCCAACCTGATTCTGCACTTACATCTGAGGCAAGACCACTGTGGACATTCACAGGGTAGTCTTCTGTACATTATCAATTCAGTACAAATTAAAACTTCCCACTTCTACCTGAAACTACAGTATCACACAAAGGGTTTTTTCCACTTACTTTGAAAAGCAGGGGGACAAACAATGAACGTTTGCTGGAATGGGTCAGTCTGTGTGCAGATCTGGGTGGTTCCAGGTTGCAGGGAAACACTCTGTTGTGCTACTCCTGCAACTGGTGCTGCAGATGATGGATACAGAGCAGACTGATAGTTTAGCAGTGACACATCCGAGTTTGCCAGGGAAAGGGGAGCAGCTGCCGGAA